CTTGAAAATGGTCAGGTTAATTTTTGGCATTCTTATCACAGTAATACTATATTCACACGTGAAGTAAAATTTAACAAAAAGTAACAAATTGTAACAAAAGTATCAAACTGAGCCATCTCCCGAGTTATTCCTACCAAGATATAAAGCATTGACACGCATCTGTAAGTTAATGACAAGGTCGTGTAAAATTTATTCAGTGGTTATTCAATGAATCATTTTTTTCCCTACTGCGATATAATAGGCCTAGCCAAGTAGTTGAGAACCCCTGTCACAGATGGACTGTTGAACTCACCATCACATTAAACATTCGAAGCAATCAATGCCCTTAACAACTGCTGTACTACTACTACTAAACTAGGCCTAGCTTCCAACGTTTCTGTTGACTCTTGATAATACTAATAGTACTAACACCATCCCGATGTTCATTTATGTACATCATTATCATCTTCTTCTACCAACTACTAATTAACATCGATAACAAGGGTAATTCATCCATCATTGAGAAAAACTAGGCCTATTTTTTTCTAGTGGATCGGAATTGTCTGCAGAAGTAAGAAAATTCAAAGAACCCCGCGAAACACAGTAGATTGTTGTTGTGTTGAAATTCCTGCGCATGCGCAGATCCATCCATGCTACATCTCGGAAGCTTTACCAGCCTCGGAATGAGAAAATAATTACCTGACCGTTTTCAAGAGGGGTAAACCTTGAAGTTTGAAGAAATGAAGTCATTAAAAGACACTTCAGAAGTGGGAAAGCTCATTTCCCGCAGCCAGCTATGAATCAAATTTTTCCAGAGGAAAACCCGGACCCCCCTATCTTTTTGGGGTTTATCGATTCATTGGATCGTTTAATAAAAGCAAGAAACCTAAACTTTTAATAACTTAAAAGTAATTTAAGACACCTCAGAAGTCGGGAAAGCTCATTACCCGCTATCTAAGAATTAAAATTTTCCCGGGGAAGAAACCCGACCCTCTTTCTTTGGGGTTCATCGATTCATGAAAAAAAGAACACTTATGCAATTACTGTACTCATTTTTTTTCTGTATAGACCTACAGTATATGACATGATATGCCTATCTCTAATAAGAATGAGACAATTTATCTGAACGTTTTCAAGTTTCAAGAGAGCATAAAATCTTGAATTTTGAAGAACTTTAAAGTCATTAAAAGACATTTCAGAAGTCTGGAAAGCTCATTTCCCGCCATCTAAGAATAAAAAATTTCCCAGGGGAGGACACACCTCCTTTTTTTAAAAATCTTTCTAACCCCCATCCCCCACCCCAGTAAATTTCAATCCAGATCCGCCCCTGATATTATTATATATAAAGTAAACAGCCAGAAAGAAAGGCCTTCCCTTGGTATAATCCTTCGTTGGAGCGAAATAAAAAAATATATATATAGCCATATAAACTACCTTATTATATGATAAAATGGTGGTTGTTTAGTGGTTATGGCGTTCACCTTGACAGCTAGAGGTCACAGGTTCGATTCCCGTCTCAGGTAATTTATCTCATAATTTATTTATAGAACAATATTCATTGAGGACTATACTGTGAGATGGCAAACAACAAACGGGCATAAAAAATGGAAGACGAAATGCAATACTACTGATAATAATTTAAAGACGTAATAGTTTAAATCTAGTAACCTAAATTATGTTCCACTTTGATATAAGACTTTATACTATATTTTAAATTAGCAGGCGATACTAGTTACATTAGCTGTGAGGCAATTTTCTTTATTAGCTGTTGAGCGTTCTGCATTAGCTGGGGTTGATTTTCTTTTTACTACATAAGCTGTTGGTGTTTCTACATTAGCGGGGAGTTTTACTACATTAGCTGTGGAGTGTGCTACATTAACGGTTGTTACTACATTAGCTGTTGTTTTCTACCTTAGCGGTTGTAACAGCAGGTATGTTTTTGGTCAGCTATAAGAGAACGTGCCAGTGTGTTAAGCCAGAAAATGTAAGGAATAGGCAGGTGTACAACTGACACAATGAAAGGCGTTCGAAAAATGCTTAAATTTGAAGTCGATATAGGACCATTCAAAGCAAAACGTCCCAGATCAGATATCTCAAAGCTAATCAACTGATCTGAATGAAAATTTAATTTTAATTTTGTTTTTAAATTTTTTTAAGTAGATGGTGGTTGGAAATCAGAAACATATTTTTGAGGATTTTATAGAAAGAGATTGGTGGTGGGAGGGGATGCTCTCTACTGAGCGCTGTTGTTATTATTATTACTATCAGTACAGTATTGCCTTTTCCCAGCAATAGCTGGAAAAGCCACTATATTTTTTTCTGATTTTTTCCCCTATCTTTTTGCACTGGGGTTCCCCCTTTGTCACTTTCCATGCTTGGAATTTTTCCATGATTTGTCGAAGCATAGACCATAAATCAAAGATATTTAGTGTCAATCTAAAGTGGGGTGTGGATGTGAGGACCAATTAATGTGATTTAAAGGGCAAACAGTCTATACCAGATATTTCAAAAACGGGTCAATTGATCTTTGAATGAAACTTTTGGGAAAGTAACCAAGTTACAAGGAAGAAATGATGTGTTGGGAGACGATCTAGTTTAGGGTGTAAATTTGAGGGTCATTTAAATTTGTCAGGTCCCAGACCTACAGTAAATATCAATGGGTATGATTGAAACTTTGTATAACAGTTTGTCAAGGTCTAGTAAAAAAAATGATTAAATGTTTGTGACAATCCAGAGTAGGGTGTGGATATATGGACCATTCAAATGAAAACATCCCAGACCAGATATTTCACACTAACGGAGGAACTGATTTAAATGAAACTTTCGGGAAAGTTAAAAGGAAAATATCATTATGTGTTGGGGACAATCCAGGTTAGGGTGTAAATTTAAGGTTATTTAATTGCTTACATCCCAGATATAATTGGATGAAAATGATACTTTGCAGAATAGTTTTTCATGGTCAAATAAAGAAATGATAAAATTTTAGTGATGATCTGCAGTAGGGTATGGATATAAGGACCATTCAAAGGAAAACGTCCCAGACCAGATATTTCGAAAACGGATCAACTGATCTGAACAAAACATATGGGAAAGTTTAACAAAGTTACAAGGAAGAAATTATTATGTGTTGGGCATCATCCAGTTTAGAGTGTAAAATTTCTGATGTCCCAAGCATAAATATTGTGTTGTTAATGGGTCTAAATGTTCACTTTCTGTAATAGTTTGTCAAGGTCAAAACCACTTTATATAGTTTTGTTCATTGTTTTGTCATATTAAAGACATAAATGAAATAATATTATTATTTTGATCTCCAATTATATTACCCTGTTAATTATATTAATTTCAATTAAAAACTTATTTCATGAAAATTTTATTTAATTTATTTTAAAATAATTTAATTAGGGTTTTTGTGTTGTAATATTGAAATTGTAATGTTTATTCTTAGTGATGAATCGAACGTTATCCCACAAAGCTTTTACAACGGACAAGAAATTCATAAGAACAAGTTTTTTCACTCACCATTCAGCAGAATTAACGAGGCTCACAAAACAAGAAAGCAACATTATAGCCATTGACCTGAGCAGGATGAGTCCACCGGTTTGCTGAAATTTTTACTGAAATAAAATACATAATATTTATTAAAAAACCAGAATTAGGAAAAGAAAAGCAACATTTATATTCACAAACATTAAATGTAAATTTTAATTCTGGATAGCAAATAAAAACATTATTTTAATATTATTATTACTATCATCATTATTTAATTCCAACATTAGGTCAAATAATGAAATGTTAATGTTAATCATTAATGTAATTATTTTAAGAACAAGAATCATATAAATGTATTTTTATATTAATTTAGGCGCGATCGCCAAATTATTCCAGAAATCAAATCTGTGTTCAGACATGCTTTCTATTGTTCCACCAAAACGCGTCAAAAAACACTGTTTGAATAGTGCATCGTTTGGACGCCGATTTTCCATTTTGGCATTTGCTCCTCCCCTTTAACGGTGGCTGATTGGATGCACTGTAAAACGCATCCAATTATTATTAATTACTATTATTATTATAGACAACTCAAATGAATCATAATAGTTTGAATATTTTTTGAGTAAGTGTTTTTGATGTTTTCCGTCTTTCTTGTGTTTTACGTATTCCATTCTGTATGTAAGTGGCGGGCTCCCCGCTGTTGAATGTGAATTAAAATAAAATGAAATAAAATAAAGCCTGACTGCACGCCGTTATACCCAAGTACAGATTTGTTTACCTGATAGTCAGTCGGGTACTGGGACGTCATTCAGTAGGCCTAGTACCGTACATAGGTGAGACTATCATAATATTCAGTGATTTTACGAATTGATGAGCAAATAAACGTTAAAAAATCCGATTTTTTAGTTATTTCCTATGTAGTCGCATGCCACCATCAGTTTTAAGAAGCACAATCACCCTCCTGTGCAGCTGTGGTAACATCCAGCACAGCAATTAATTGCTCTCCTTGCCACTGAAAGGGATCTGTGAGTTATGATCCTGCAAACCACTGCTTGCCTGTGGTCTCAAATTGCAGGAAAACGGTGCGGTGATGTTGGTTCCCCTGCGATAGTCTGTTTTCTCATGCTTAGGTCGCTTGGTTAGACTTTAGGATTTAGTTTTTGGTTTGTTTTCTTTCGTGTAACTTAAGCGCATAGAGACCATGTAGTATGCGCTTTACAAGTCCCAAACCATTACCATTACCATTACCATCACGTGGTAAGACCCATGCCTCTGAAAACGTTGATCAAAGTAGATGAAATTTCGTATTACACTAAAGCCAAATTATATTTACATTTTATAAAACAACATTTAATTAATGCGAAACACATTTTTTTGATGCCGAATTTCCCCTGCGAATTTCAACTTGTGAATTCCATGAAAACATGTAAGGCTAAACCATTACTAACAGCTTGCGATATTACTGTAATTTATTTATTTATTTATTCAACTGAACATACAATTTTGTTTCAGCGGCACACACAAATCTGGTGCGATCAATGGTTAAAAGAGAGAAAGAAAAACAACTAGAAATAAGTAATTGTAATAAAAAACGTTATGCAGTGTTCTCCCAAGAATTTGTTAAGGTGTAATGGGAAAATGCACGACGACACCTCGTTCGGCGCATATTCCACGATGCAGAGGTTGTAATAACCCTGCTTTAAGGTCAGAAAATTAATTATTAGGCCCAATAAAAAAAAATTGTTATTACCCTCACGCGCATGTATTCTATGGTACTTCCAAAAATAAATAAATAAATAAAATAAATTTTTTTAAATTTTTAAAAAATTTTTAAAATTTTTTAAAATTAAATAGTATATAGTTGGTACTATCTCAATCATGTTTTACTTGAATATCAATGCACCAACAAACAAACCAAGGGTGATGTCTGGCTTAAGCAAAATAAAATTTAAAAAAAAACTCAGCCTCCCCTTTCTCATCTCATTTCCACCCTAGATAGGGTGATAAACTAATAAAAATAGGGCCTCCCCAACCAGAACATTAGATTAATTTTTTTAAAGGTATTTTAAGGTATTTTATTTTTAAAATTGTAATAATAATTAATAATAAAATGTGATTTACATAGCAAGGTATATGCACTTGACACTATGACTTTTTGGAATTTAAATTTATGAGTAGAATTATTTATTGGCTTAAATTAAATAAATTTTCCATTTAGTTGTGTATGTTTTTATTTTGTTATAGTTTATTTTCTGTACTTTACGTTACAGGCTACTGTACCAAAAAAATAACTTGACAGGTAACACACTAGGTCTAGGTATCTCTTGAAACGATCTCAAACTCTGCTCAAACTGCCAAAGAGATACCCTATCAGAAGCTTGCCATTTGGTTACCATGACAATCGACTGAGAGATACTACAGCCATACATAGTGTGTGGTGAGCTTTTTTGACATAGCAAATTTGCATCTACCAGGGAGTTGTTATAGTGACTGGAGATCCAACGAAGTCAGGCCTTGCACCATGTTACAGACCGGCCTGTAGGGCGATCGTTAAGCTAGTTGATTCGTACATGAAGTAAAAATAATTACTTCAAGTTGTACTGTTACCAATACAATGACGCAATCCTGCCATAGATCGTCACACAGTAGACCGCTCATTGAAGTTTACCTGAGTTTGCTTAGAATTTACAGCAAAGGAATGAAGCAAAGAAGCTCATTTTTCTATTAAAAGTTAACAGAAGTAATGCTAACATTAGTGTGTTTTTGTCAATGTAAAGTAGTTACTTAGGAATACTGACCTAGGCTAGTCCTAAAATATTATGGAGACGAGATGCAGCCAAACGTCTGGCGACAGTACAAATGTTCACAATTTCAAAGAAGCAAGCAGTCTTGTCATCTCTCTCACCTTACCAGGGAGCTGTTATGTTTTACCCCTTTTGAAATCTGGGTAATTCCATGTCAAATCAACCAAAAAAAAACCTCAATCTCTCGGATTTTGTTCAAATTTTTGTATGTTGTTGAGGCCCATGAGAAACGATCAGAAATGAAAAATTTTTTCTCTAGGCCTCCTAATTAGCGAGATATCTGCTAACGAACTTTTGGCCAATTAGCGATACCTTGCGTGTTTAACCGACCATATCTCGAAAAGTATGGCACCTACAGAGCTGATTTTGGTGTCATTTTAAAGCTATTGAGTAGCTCTATAACTTTATTAATAAATGCTAAGTCCTCAATTCAAATATAAAAAAGTTATGACAGGTTGTAAAGTTCAAAGTTGAATAAAAAAAATATATATCTGTCTCTTATACACAACAGAGTAATGTGTGCTAATATGTGTATACTGTAGTATAACCAAAAGTAACTCTTCATTTAGGAATTTAGGTTTTAAAGTTGAATTACAATGTAAAATAAAAAGTCTCAATAAATTAGTGATGGACACGTCCTTAGCAGCAAGCAATTATACATATTACTGCATGCAATTTCAAAAATTAGGACATTTTTCAATTACATTATATTGTATTATGGAATCATTATTTTAAGAAGCATATTAATGTTCAATAAACTGATCAGTACATACCATAAATCATGATCAGATACACCATCGATAAAAATTATAAGACAAATCATTTGTCAAAATAAAATCAATGTCAAAAAGATGTTTTGGCTCAGTTCTAAACCTTAATTTTTTTGGTAAATGTAGCATGGGCAGCCTTTGTTTCTTTTTTTGAGATTAAATATGTTCTTCCAGTCACTGTAGTTGGGTGAACAGCTGTTAGTATATCTTGATGATCAATGGTTAAAGAATCTGGTGGTTCTGGAAATACGAAAGATGGCGACAGTCCATGTGGGCTGTCTCTTATACACATCTAGATGTGTATAAGAGACAGCTTTCAATACTTTAACGTGCAAGCTGCTGTAACATATCCACTTAAGACCAAACCACTCAGAACTGTGGTATCTGCAGTAAGAGTTACTAGTTCCTGTCTTTTCTCGGCTGCAGATGAAAAGGATCGAACTGTAACCGCTTCTTTGGAGACTAGAATAAAAGAATGCAAATTCCGTGTACCTGGAATTGTGCGAGCATTTTCAAATCTGTCTTTCAGGAATTCTGCTTGTTGCCGATATTGCTCTGTTGTGGCAAACTGGCAATGTATTTTGTCAATCTCTGAATCTGCAAATTCAAAAAGTTGGCAAGCAGTGATAACTGTCTCGGCGTTGTAAACTTGCTCTGGCTGCTAACCGCTTTATTGTCCCCCCAACACCATCAGATGGTCCCTTTCCATGCGAGGTGGCAAAGAAGTGCCATTCAGCTTGAACACCAAAGTCTTCTTCATGGAGGTACAAATTTAAAAAGTTTTTTCTATTTTTATACTGTGCAGCACAGCCGTCAGAAAAATAGCATATTTTCTTAACATGTCCAAGTGTGTCTGTTAAAAACTGTATGAGCAATTTTTGAAAAAGGTGAACTGCCACAGTATCATGTGTGTTACATTCTTATATAATCACAAAACTTGTATGGTCAATTTCATCTTGCATGTTTCCCCGGTAGTAACATACAAAGGGATGAAGTGTTGCTTGCAGATTGTTCCAATGAAAAGACTGAGAAGCGTCCTGTACTACAAAGCTGTATTTTTCAGCAAAATCTGCAATGACCAAGACTATTCCTGGTTCAAGTGTACTCCTTAGATCTTGGAGGTAACCCGCTTGTTGCTTTGCAATGAAATCATGAGGTAATAATTTTTGAAGACCACTTACAAA